TGTGTATGTATCTGTGTGTGTTTGTGTAGCTGTCTAGAGCATACCAATTAGGTAGCAGCACTAAGTTGAATGTCACGAGCTATCAGGTTGGACCATATTTGTACTAGTTGGAAATCCTGTGGATGTATATCAGAGTGGAAATTGGAAAAAAAAGAGAAATAAAATAACAATAAACTCATTTCCATATAATTCCTGAAAAAAATGTGAGGAAGAGGAGGAGGAGGAGGAGGAGGAGGAGGAGGAGGAGGAGGAGGAGGAAGAAGAAGAAGAAGAAGAAGAAGAAGAAGAAGAAGAAGAAGAAGAAGAAGAAGAAGAAGAAGAAGAAGAAGAAGAAGAAGAAGAAGAAGAAGAAGAAGAAGAAGAAGAAGAAGAAGAAGAAGAAGAAGAAGAAAGAAGAAGAAATGTCTATGGATTTGTAATCATCAAGCTTATCTCAGATATCTGGTAGCATTTTTGTAATACTAGGGCTTATGCTGTTGTTTTCATCTGTTTCAGACTTCAAAAACTCTGAAAGATACTACCCCTTCAATATCTAGTAGTCATAGTCAAAAGAGGCTATTAGAGCTTTAAACAAGAAGCTTCTGAGCTTCTGGTTGACCACAGTACAGTCTAGGTCCTCTAGCATTTTGCTAGCATGTTTTTGACATACATGTGGAAATGCAATTCCCTTGAGAAGTCTTTGATGCTTGGAAAAATTGGGAGAAAGAAGAAGAGACAAGGTAGATGGTTTCAGCTACAGCAGCAGTGAAAGCACTAGTGAGAGGCCAGGTTGAAAACAGATAATTCTGGACAGATTCTATCCATGTATTCAAATTTGAAATGTATTTGTTTATTTATTTATAAAATGTGTTTGCTGCCCATCTCGCCAAAAGGCAACACAGTCTTGGCTTGAGGGTGTTTAATTATGTGCTCTTGTGTTTCATTATTTGAGTAAAATAGAGTAAGTGGGCAGTAGGAGGGGTAAGCTCATATATGATGAGTGGGAGGTCTTATTTGGGAGACATAATGATCAGCAGCTGTGCCAAATGCCTGAAGAATTCTGTTTCAGTTGGCACAGATGCTTGAACTCACTGGCTGAAAGACTTTGAAATTGTTTAGGGCAGTGTTTCTCAACCTTGACAATTTTAAGGCATGTGGACTTCAACTCCCAGAATTCCACAGCCAGCATTGCTGGCTGTGGAATTCTGGGAGTTGAAGTCCACATGCCTTAAAATTGTCAAGGTTGAGAAACACTGGTTTAGGGTCATCACAAATGTAGGAGCAAGTGGCAAGTATTTATGTGAGAAAGGAAGATTGATGAGTGGCTACTGACCTTAATTTAAAAAAACTGCCAGTAACAAAGAAACTTTCAGAATAATATTGGCACGTCTTATAATGGTAAGCCAAGTTCTCCAAAACATCAATTCCCTTTCTCCAAAATACTTTTCCAGACCATATTTACAGCCCATAGGTATATGCTGCTAGGCTACCTCCTGCAGGGGCCTACTTTGTTACGTAAAATAGGCCACCATGAATATTTCACAGCATCTGATAAATAATTCATGCCCAAATTCAGTAGGGGGTTGAGCCTACAGAGTAATTAGTTAACTTCCCTGGGAGTGGACGTAGGGCCAAGAGAGTCTGGCTTTACCAGCATCTCCTGCTCATACTTCTCCCTTCCACCCAGGGTTTAGAAACAGACTGAGAAGCTGCCATTAAAGCTGGCTTTGTTGTTTCTGCAGGAAGCTCAAAGTAAGTAAGCTCTCAGCTATAGACCCCACGTAGTTTTAAATCTTTGAACATGTTATAGAGTATTTCTGGGCATAAACCAAAGCTCTTCTGAGCAGCCAAAGCCCCCTCCCCTGTCTTTCTCCTGGGATTAGCATTCCAGGTTCCCAGAATGAATTAAATTCACTAAAACGACCTGCCAAGGAGATTTCTAGCATAGCAGGGACTTTTAAAGCCTTTCTATGACATCATTTTCTTTGACTTGAAAATAAAGGCAATGATTAATTTCAGCTTTACAAATTCCCTGTTGATGAGAAGTAGGATGGATGCAATCCAAAGTAGAGGGTACTAATAACAGTGTTTAGTACTAAAGACTGTGTTCAAACAGCAGAAATGTTGCTGAAAACCAGGACATTCTGTAATGTTCATGCTACCCCACTACCCAGACAGACAGCATGCTCTAAGTAAAGAGCAAGGGTATGGGTATTGCAGTTACTTGTTTCCAACCTAGCAAAGAGATGAGGCATGTGACTAAATCTGGGTGGGAGAGGTTCCTCTCTACCTCCTAATATGGAAAGCCAGACAGACTTCAGTGCATGCCTGGAATTTTACTGGCTGCAGCTCTGCTGTATTGAGTTCTCAGTACTGATAACATTCCAGTAGCCATTTTTAGTTGTGACACTTGAACATGATAAATTAAAGGAGGGAAGGAAGGCAGTTTTGGAAGTGAGTTGTAGATTGAGAGGCATAGAACTAGTGTTTCCCCCAGAGGCTCTTTGTAGGGGTTTTATCTCTGGGAACTGCAAGTCTTAAATGACAAGTTTTGTTGCACTTCCCATTGAGCATGATGGAAGCAAGCCAAGTAGTTATCATCTTAACTTTTAGATTCAAAACTCTTATGTCCATAGTTTGACATGGACTGCCCTGATTTTCCTGGAAGTTTTCCAAAGCAGTTTTGACCTTTCAAGAAGGGTTAGGAGCCTCAAGTGGCCCTGTTTTGATTGTGAAACTCTTCCAGAATGGTTGAGAACAGCACTGAAAAACTTCCAATGAGATTGGAACAACCTGACATAAAATCAAAACAGCCAGAGACAACGTGAAACTTTACAAACGTTTTTCACATTTCCAAGGCTTAGCATTTGGTAGTCATTGCACCCCACTTAGAATTTTTAATTCAGTTTGAATATTCAGCTCTGATTCCTTGATTAAAATAGGAAGCATTATTTCCAGGCATTATTTGGACATGGGACAATAAGCAGAAATGGATGCAGCGAGAAGATGATGGTCACTCTGTGTGATGGAGAGATTTGGCAAGAATAATGGTATGTGTAAATCAGAGAGGAGTGTCAGTATTGGACTAGACTCTGGGAGGCCCCGCTCCAAATCCACACTCAGCCACGGATGCTCTTGGGCAGAGGGTTTTCTCAAACAAACAGGATTGTTGCAATGGTCAAACAAATGTACAATGCAAGCCTTCTTGGGCACTTGGAGGAAAGACAAATAAATACTAATAAATCGTCTGCTGCCTTTGGGTAAAAGCAAGTTCTGTTGGAGGAAGTTGAGCAGAATCCTCTTTCAGTACTGCTGTGCTGTTTTTTTCTTCTGTCATTGGCTTTAATAGGAGATAGCTTTATGCCCATTTGCTTAATCTCCGGAGTTGTTCTATTGGAAGCTCTGCTATTTGAACTTGGGTTTTTTTTTGCTAGACAACCCAATCTGTTTTTCCTGTTTGGCTTGGTGGCCTCTATTCACATCAATCTGTTCTCTTAGTTAAGGTCTTTGATTCGACTGCAGTCACACAACTGCACAGTTACCTTGTTCTTCCTACCACATTTTCTTGAGTAACTATATATACTAGTCAAACGACACAGCTGGGCCCTGCTAGCCATGTTCTTGCAAATATCTGTTGGGGTTTTCTTTTCTTGCTTTCTTTTGGTAGGGCATCGTTAGGAAAAGGTTAAAAATGTGATCTGATGATATTGTTAGTGACAGCGGGGACAGGGTTGATACAGACAGTAGTTAATGGAGGAGGAAGCTGGGTCAGCATATGAGAGGCATAACCCCTCTGGCTCTGCTCCAGTGCTCTGATGCTACTTGTTTGGCGATGGATAATGGGGGCTGTCAGATAAGGATGCCTGCCCAGGTGTGCCACTGGCAATAGCCTGTGGGTGTATGCAGCTTGGAAGGAATGCATACCCATTCACCCCAAAGCCTGCCTGAAACAGAAAGGTTGTCTTTTGAACTTGTCACATTCTGGATTTGTACGTGTGTTTTGTCTTGGATCTATTCTGTTTCCTTTGGCTGCATTTTTACAAGGATTATGAGAAAGTATACTGCTATTTGCAGTGCAGCAAAGCGATAGAATCTTTCCATAAGTAAATGAGACTGTTTGATTAGCAGATTTGCTTTGCCCATCTTTCTACCTTTTTCAGAGGTCTGCAAAGAGTCTTTCACTGCACGCAGAGGGTGTTCTCTGGCATGCAGAATCCACTCTGCACGATCCATCATAACCGCAATGGTTGGTAGCAGGGTGAAATCACAGCAACTTCTCTGTGAAAGATAGCAAGCCAAGCCAAGTAATTGCACTTCCTGAGTCACTGCTGAAGCTGTGGGCTAGAGTTCTTCCCCAGTGGAAACATGTTACGCATACTAACCTTGCTGCAGAGCTTTCTGAATCAATGACAGAACAGAGCTAGACATTTCTCTGTTGCATGCTTCACAGTGAGTGAAAGAACTAGATGGATGTGGACCACTCTAAGAATCTTGTGTCATCTTAAGGTGACAATGGTGGAAGCAAATTATTGTCTGATCTATAATGATGCTTGCAGGTTCACCACTGGCTGTATTTCACTGGGCTTGTTTGGGGCAATCTGAGGCGGCTTCTTAGCACACTAAGAATCTTAATTAGCAGTGTTAACCCTTGGAAGAAACAGTATTGACAGCGAGAAATGGACCGATCATATTGGCTTAATTACCCCACCAGAGTTTTGAGTACTTGCAGTAAAATTGGGGATTTGATATGTTAACATTTGAAATGGTCTGTAGAAGAGTGAGATTCATCACAAGGGGGAGAGAGAGGACTTGCCAGCTTCAAACCCTTTTCAGTCAGTTAGGAACTGGTTCCTTGCTTATCCAGAGAGGCCTGTGTCTTGCAGAAGCTATTCTGTGCTTAGTCTCCTTTTCCTCCTTCTCAAGAGGTCATGCACATTGTCTACAGGCAATCTCCTTCAGGCTAGTTCCTTGCCATGGTGTCCTTGTCAATAATTATTCTTCCTCTTTTGTTCTTGCTGCAGGAAGGGGATTCATTGGGGGCTATGGAGAAGCTCTGCAGGCAGCTGACATACCATCTGAGCCCCCACTCTCAGTGGCGACGCCAGGGCATGGTGAAGAGGAAGCCACAGGCTTGGTGAGTAAAAATGGGATGGCTGGAGACCACCTTTCTGGTCATACCAGCAGGTTGGAACCTGTGAAAAATACAAGGGGTAGCATCTATGTGGAGAGAGGAATTCAAGACATTTTAAAATAGTCTTCAGTTGGTCTCAAATGTAGCAGCCTGCAGGTTGGCAAATAAGTCACATCCTCAAAAAATTATAACTGTGTTGTAGGCTCTGCACTGGTTACCTAGATGTTGCTAGCTGAAATCCAAAATCCTGGTTCTACTATATCTATAAAGCCATATATGAACTAATTACTTCTGCCTTGAGGACTACTTTTCCACATAGAAGTGATCCATGCAGTGCATGCTCCTTGGCCAAATCTGTTAGTGGTCCCAGGCAAAGGAGATAAAGGAGATTGGGGTTCACAGTTAGCCTCTTTCTTTGATAGCTCCTATACTTCGCAATCACTTCCCCCTTAAGGACAGGCTTGTGTTCATCTTGATGGCTTCCCTCAAGCTAGCAAAAACTGGCTTGTGCTTGAGGGCATTTGGGGAATGATGCCATCTATCCGTTGACTTCTGCGAGGTGGGTGGCATATAAGTTTAATAAATAAACCTGTGTTTCTTGTTTGATGAACTTGTGATTTTTTTAAATTTTGGTTTTAATTCTGTTTTCTATGGATTTATTTATTGGACTTACAGACTCTTTACATCATAGTAGACTCTGAATAGCACACATACCCAGTATAGTAATTGGATTAAAAATAGTACATAAAATAAAAACATAAATACCCCAGGCATCATTATTGTATCAAAAAATAAAAATAAAGATATTTTTTTCTACAGGAAGGAACAAGGTAATGTAACTGTAATAATAATAATAATAATAATAATAATAATAATAATAATAATAATTATAATTATAATTATAATTATAATTATAATTATAAAGTTGGAAGGGACCTTGGAGGTCATCGAGTCCAACCCCCTGCTCAGGCAGCAAACCTTACACCATTTCGGACAGATGGCTGTCCAGTCCCTTCTTAAAAACTTCCAGTGTTGGAGCATTCACAGCTTCTGGAGGCAGGTTGTTCCACTGGTTGATTGTTCTAACTGTCAGGAAGTTTCTCCCAGGTCTTTATAGCTTTATAGCTTTTTGAAAACTCAGGAGTGTGGAGTCAATCTAATTTCTGGGGGAATGCTATTCTGGAGATGGGGCAGCAGCTGAAAGGGCCCTGTGGCTTTTCCAATGGATATTTTTTGCTGGAAGACACTGAAAAAAGTTTCAAAATATGATCATGTGACCAGAGGAAGTTGCAACCAGTTGTAAATGTTAGGCGGTTTCCAGGTGCTAGGAATGCAATCACATGCTCATGGGGGTAGTGTAGCAATTGTAACTATAAGAATGAGTTGTAACTTTTTTCAACTTAGTTATAACATTGAATGATTGTTAAGCAACCAGACGTAAGTCAAGGACTACCTGTAAACTGTGAATCCTTAAGATAACACTTTATTGCTTTTGATAAAAGAGAAGCTTTGTAGCTCACAGTTGAACTGTGGGTTCCTTGGTGGTTTTTGAGCTTGGTTGTTTTTGATGATGTTACCTAATTTGGTAATGAAACATCTACAAGAAAACAACCAAGTTCAGAGACCACCAAGGACCCCACTTTATTGCTTATAACAATTTATTGTTACAAGCAGCACTGTGAGTTTATGATCATATGATCAAGTCTTAATCTTTGAGGAATAATCTTTTGAACGTGAGACTTGGAATACTGTTAGCTAGATTTGCAATAGGTAAAATGGGCTGGATGCTTTGAGTTTCATTATGTTTATAAGATCCATATAAGTTGTCACGTGGCTTATTTATTTGAGGATAGATAAGCATACATTTCTGCAGGTACTAAACATCGAGTTTCAGATGGTAGTAAATAGTAAGGCACATGAAAGCAGGACAAGGATGACAAAGGGCATTTGGGAAATAGCCAGGTTCTCTCCTCCTTTACATTTCTCAAGTTAAGGAAAACTGTACAGTATTCTGGGCTAGACATAGTATTTTGCTATTACAGGGAAAGTACTATAAGATCCATATAAGAAAGAAATTTACTCATGTGGAACCAGTGGTTTGGAAACAGCTCAGTATGTCTTGTTTTACTATAGCATCTATAAGGATATCTGCAACACTTAATGTACTTCTGAATGTTTTATTCTGTTTCCTAGTGTTTACTGTGCCCTTGGCCACAGTAAAAGAGGAGGAGGAGAATAGCTTATTATATGAACCCCAAAACCATGATTTCTTAACTCAAATTTAAGATGTAGCATGTTATGTGATTACAGCTACTATGTTTAAACTATCCAGGAGAGATTTAAGGTAGCAAAATAGGCAGAAGAATGATGGGAATGGCTTCCTTGCTTTTTATTTTATATCATGATTGACTATCACCTGTTAACATGGCTGAATAAGAGAGCAAAGCTGTGTCCACTGCCAAGAAAAGTAATGGCAGATGCATGTGAAGGAAGGTGCTTGATTCCCCTGGCATGGGTTGGGCTGAGCACGTCTCCTTGAGTTCAGTGTCATGATTCCGACAGATGAAACCCTTCAAAGGAACTTCAAGGCATTGTTTACCTTAAAGAATCTTTTATTCGGGAAACAAACTATCAGCACTACATAGTTGAACCCAAAAACTAAATTCCCCTCCCCTGGATACAAAGTAACAAAGTACAATTCCCATCTCCAATAAACAGTCATAAATCACATTCCCCAATTAGCTTGAAGCACGGGCTTTCTCCACAGCTCCCCAGCCTGCCACGCTATCAGCTCTGGGCCCAATGTCCTTGGGTTCCCAGGGCCGAGTTATTATTGTTATGACTAGCTGGACTCTCATCCCTATCCCCCTCCCAGCATCAATTAATTCTAAAAGCATAGAGAAAATGGCTGCATTTTTATCTGTTGTCAAGGCAAGAATATCCGATGTTAGCAGCGTTGACATTCAGCTTGAAATAGCTTCTGTTCTCGGTTTTCCTGTTTTCAGACCATAATGTCTCCTGAGATCGGGGGGGGGGGAGTTCCTAGTAGTGTGACAAGTCCTCATTAGAGGAAGCCTAAATATTGGCTAAGTTGATAGTAGGACACAGGCAATCCAACACAAACCAAATAGATCCCCAGGCAATACAAAAATACCTAATTCTCTTCACATTCCAATTTTAAAACAGAAGGATTACCAAGGATTAAGGTAAAGATGTGTGGAGAAGTTGGAAAATAGCTGCCGGGGTGATGCAGTGGTTAGAAAGCAATATTGCAGGCTGACTGCCCACTGCCAGGAGTTTGATCCTGACAGGCTCAAGGTTGACTTAGCCTTCTATCCTTTTGAGGTCAGTAAAATGAGGATCTTGATTGTTGGAAGCAATATGCTGATGCTGTAAACCAGGGTATCAAACTGGCAGCCTGTAGGCCGGATGCATCACGCGCAGGCCACGCCCACCCCGGCTCCGCAAAGGCAAAAAACATCACGATATTTCATGATACGTCACATGACACTATTGAATTTGACACCCATGCTGTAAACTGTTTAGAGAGTGCTATAAACAAGCACTATGAAGCAGTATATATAAGTCTAAATGCTATTGCTAGTGAGAAGCTTTTATTATTAAGCAAACTGTCAGAGTGATAGTGAACAAATTTGAAGAAATGTTTTTGAGTCAATGAATAGTCCAGTTTTTTCTCCTTAGAGTAGTCTCCTTAGGGTGGAGTATTGGTGGAATATTGGCAGAGTGGAATATTGCAAAAACAATATAGGAAAATCTGCCAGCCAGGTTTGTCTTTGCTGGTGGCTTGTTCATTCCAGTGAGTGACACAAGAAAAGGATGGCAACACATATTTTCAACTCATGGACCATTATGAACTGATACACTGAGCGGAGACTTCTCATCATTTTCTGCTAAGCAGCTAGTGGGCATTTTTATTGATATTATGCTTTGACAAAGTGGAATTGCCAACCAGGCTGAATTTCCCAGCTCTGCGTTCTTTATTTTCCAAAGCCTCTTGATTGATGCCTGTCTAGGAGGCATCAAGGAGAACCAGTAGAGTAGGTAAGGTCTTGGACTGGGACATGGGAAAATCATATCTAGATCACCACTTGAGCTTGTTTGGCAATTTTGGACTAGTCACACTCTTTCAAACCTTACAAGATGGTGATTTATCAGGATAAAATTAGGGGAAGAACTTCATATGTGATGCCTTGAGCTTTTAGAGGAACAAAATACAAATAGAGTGACCATAATAACTTGATAAGAGACTAAAAGCAGCCAGATATCTCCCCCTGCAGGCTGTCCACTGCTGGTTAAATACAGACCTTTCCTTCCTCAATCTTTGGAAGATCAATTATATAGCTTGTCTCTTTCTGTCTCTCTACCAGAGCTTGTTTTTTGTCCATTGCCATGATCTGCGCAGCCCTTGTCAGACCAGGAAAGCTTGCAGGTGGCTGCTGTATCCTGGCTCATGGAGTGGTCCTTTTACCTGGTATTCAGCTCCCGGTCCCCTTGGTCATTTGAATGGCTTGAGACAATGCCATCCCAAAGTTTCTGCTGCTCTTGTGTCCAGCAGTTAATCATTTCAGTTAATTTAACGTTTAACAAAAGAGGGAAGTGTCTAACAAAGAGTAGTCCGTTATGGAGATCTGTGTGTGCTTTAAAGTTGGGAAAGCATAAATGAAAGAGTTCTGTTCTATGTTTTTAATGACCAATCTCTCTCAGTTCGCTGTTTTGTCAAATTGTAATGGATTTGATTATTTCCATTTAGAGATGCAAGTAAATCCCTTGAAGGGTTTCCCCTGGAAGTTGCTAAAACCAGTTAAAAATCAAGCCTAGGCAAACTCATGCCTCTAGGGAGGTGCTTTGGGCCATAGAGGTCTTATAATAATAATAATAATAATAATAATAATAATAATAATAATAATAATAATAATAATAATAATAATAATAATAATAATAATAATAATAATAATAAAAGTTGGAAGGGACCTTGGAGGTCA